ACAGAGCCAGCCCTGAACAGTGAAGGTACAAACCACCAGGAGCCTTTTGGCCTCGGGAGCCGAGGAGGGGCAGATGCTTGACCACTTCATTTTGCAGAGCAGACACTGGGAGACCACCTGGCTTAGCACCCTCTCTCAAGCCATGGCCAGTCACAAGTGCAGAGGAATGAGTTACAAGAACAAGGCAAACCAGTGGTGATATTTCTTCAGCATACTCACTAAGCTTCTAAGAATGTGCAGCTCAAAACTTCCTAAGCCAGAGGCAGTGGTTTTAAGTTTAATAGCCCTTGATGGATTTTTCTTCCATGAACTCATCCAGTCACCTCATTAGCTGATGTAACCTCTCAGCATCCACATCCTGTGGCGAGCAGTTCAGCAGTCTGACCACGCCACGTGAAGAGCCATCTCCCTCTGTGTTCATTCCAGCACCCAGTCCTTCTGCTGCTGTTGCCATGATCAGTAATTCCCAGTTAGCCTTCTCCATGCTTTGCTTAATTTTACAGATTTCTGTTGCATCACTTTATCAGTGCTGTCAGTCCTCGGACAGGAATTACTCCGTTCCTCTGATCACCTTTGTTACATCCCTCTGAACCTCCTCCCTCGACACCTCCTCCTTCCATCTTTGAGGTGGGGAAATCGACAGCCCAAGATACTGAAGATGTGGGCACACCATAGCTTCTACAGTGAAACAATGAGGATTCTTTTTTATTATTTTCCATCCTGTTAAAAATAATGTTCTATTTCCTTTTGGTTTTTAAGTCACATCTGCACATTGCATTGATTTTTTTTTCCGAGTTGTCCGTCGAAGACTTTATCAAAGCTTCTGCACCTACCATGACCTGTAGCAATTAATTTCTATGATTACAGATACACTTTTTCCATTAATTTTCAACCTGACGTGCATTTATCTCATATGAAGATACTCAAAGAGAAAGGGTGATTGAAACATCCCAGTACGTGATGCTCTGTCATGCCAGCACTTCTTGCATGTTTTGGAATGACAGAGGTTTCATACCTGAACTTCCAAATTTCCATTCTGATCTCAGTCGTACATACACATCCTCTAGATTTTTTCCCATATCATTGTTTCACTTTGCTCCCTAAGAACAGTGGTAAAACAGCTGAAAAACACCTTCTGTCATTATCAGGCCAGTAGCAGACTAACTGTTTTACACAAACTTGTGTCCAAGCAAGAGAAGGTTAGATAACCACCCTGTTCCCACCACTTAACGTGGTCAATTTTGGAGTATCTTGGAGCTCTGGGCATGCTACCTACCACACAGACACAGGAAAAAGAGATGGCATTGCCTAAGAAAGCTTGTAGGCAAAGGAGAGGAGAAGGGAGAAGGAAGAGCTGGCAGGTACTGACAGGGTAGTGGGCACAGTGTGTGGCAATACTATTTTCTAGTGACAAAGGTCCAAGTTTATCTAACTTTTGTGAGAGTTTTATTTTTCTGAAGTCACAGGTGAATTTTCAGACTGAAGCAGGATTGAAACACTTAGCATTGGGGATGCCTAAGACTATTCCACCCAAATCTGGCAGGTAGCGTGCAAGAAATGCTGATTTCTGCCATGGTCCTTGGATAAAGGAACAGAAATATCTTTCCCAAAGTGTAATTAAAAACATTTTGGTTGGACTGAACTGTGCTTCATGGTTTGCGTTCAGGGGGAAGAAACACAGGAAGAGAAGCATAAAAAACAGTACTTACCCCTCTCTCCCCAAAATGTACATCGAATTTATGTGTTCGAGGCCAGGAAAGCTGTGCCCCTATATCCCTCAATCTAATCTGCCAATATCCCTGAGCCATCACAAGATAAATGCAAGGAGCGGAGAATGAACCACATCTGCAGTTTTCTCAGCTCCTTATTCAGAACATGAGCCTACACGACCACATCCCTTTTCACCGCCTTGTCTTTTCTGCCCTGCAACTCTTGTATTTCTGAATTCAGCTGGCAATATAGTGGCATATATATTGTGTGGCCCACAGCATGTCACAATAAACAGTAATGGCTTTAGCCCCTCCCAAAAAAATGTGCAATACCAAAAGCACCACTGCAAATCTACCACCCTCTACGCATTCTGCTTAAATGCTATTACATGATGTTTCCTTTTCAAACTTCAGTAGTCAGACTCATAAAATTATTCTATCAGACGATGCTGATTTCTGACTGAATTACACTAGCTAAAATACAAATATTTGCATGACCTTAGTCTACTTTTCCAATAACAAGTTTGAATAAGATCAGTGATCACCAGAAAGTTAAGCCAAATCTAGAAAAACTACTTTTTTTATACAGATAACGATCCCTCTACAAAATCTGCAACTCAAGTGCATCTGCCCTAAGAGCCTGAAAACAAAACTATAGACACAAATGGAAGTTCCCTAACTTCATCTAAGACAGAAAGAAAAGCAATTAAATGCACATAAGATGTATATTTAACTGCTTTTTTTATCAGTATGACATTTACCAATCCAGGAGAGGAGCAAAGCAGAGGCAGGTGCTGAAAAACACAGCAGGCAGTATTGGGACGAAGATAAGAAGGATGAAAAAGCAGTAGTACCATGTCCCAACCACTGAAAGACTGGAAACCACTGCTTTTGCTCAGATATCCTGTCCCTGTACACTACAAGTGTCAACTTTTTTCTTCCCACCATTGCTTCTCTTGGTCTGGGTTTAGCACCTCTATCCACAGTTCCTTCCACCTTGCCCCCAAGCTTTGTCATCTATGACCCCACCAAATCCTTTGTCTTAATTCAAAGTCTCTGCTCTTCAATTTCTCCATGTCTCTCAGTTCTAGTCCCACAATTTCTTGTCACCATGTATGTGAACTAAGCAATTTCCTTTTCCACCCTGCCTTGGCATCACTCACACACTCTGCCACCAAAGACACAGTCTTCAATGCTCCCTCCTTATGGTATTCACTGTAGCAGCAACATCTGGGAAGAATAACTGTGGGGGAAAGTCCACTCAGCCCTTCATCCACCAACTGGAGTACTCTCATCCTTCCCAGGGAGACAAGCAGTGATCAGCTCCTAACAACGCTGGGTGTTCAGCATGCCTTATGCTGAGAGCATTTTCAGCGAGTGCAATGGTCAAGCCCTCAACAACCCCTCTACCAGGAGCATGCAACCTGAGCCTTGTGACAAAATTAAAACTAAGAAAAATTCTGGAAGCTTCTAGAGGCTAAACATAAGGCACACCCCCATCACAAGACTGATCTCAAGCCAAGTATCTTTTCCTTGCTCCAAAACACAAAGCCACAAGAATTCAACAGTCTCAATGAAAGCGTTTCTCAACATAGCCAAAGAACGCAGATTCACAAAAAAGATCAAGGTCTCCTAATGTAGGATGATATACACCTGAACTAACTTCATCAGATATATGGCCAAAGAATACACTTTCCTCTAACCATGTTCTCAGAAATAGCTGAACCATTTCAAATTAAGCTTCCCAAAGACAGTTTGTTTTCAGCAGGTACTCAACCTGGAAAATGTCAGCCTAGGTTTAAGCTTAGCAAATGCATAAGCACCTGATAGCACAGAAAGCACAAGGTAATTTTAAGAGTAGACAAGGTTCCTCCATATGATAAAATAACAACTCCTTCAAATGCATGTTCCAGGGTAGAGATTTGGGCAAAAATCACAATTCTGCAAAGTATAGTCTGTGGGTTCAACATGCAAGGCAACACCTTTATTACTGAGGGAAAGAAATTTTAGGCAAGCCTACAATCTCCAGGCTTTGGAGCAGGGCACAGAAGTGCTTTCAGCTTGGGGAATCACCCCACTGTCACATACCTGCTTCAGGAAAGCCTTCCATTTTCACACGTTCAGTGAGACAGTGCACAGCTTGGCAATTATGTTCTCCAAATATTCCTGCTTCCAGGCCATCTCTGCAGAGCAACTATGTGTCTATATTCATCTACAGAAATGTATGCAGGATTGGGCCCTCAACCAGCTGACAGCTCTTAGAATCAGATACAGAGCAGCAGATGAGCTGGCTACGCCTGGACACTGTGAACGCTAATTATTTAGTACCAGGAAAAAAACTAAAATCACAGTTTGGTGCATTAACATCTCAAACCAAGGTAAGAGAGAGATAATTTTCCACTTCAAGAGGCAGCCACTTGTTGAACTGAATGCTCAGGTTAGCTGTGCCCACCTGAGGGATCCCTACAGCTCTTCTGGAGATTTAGTGCCATGAAAAGATCCAAGTTCCTCTGCTGGCTGCAACGCTTATAACCGCTAATTATTTCTGAGTCACTTGAGTGAAAGTAAGCTGCCATCCTGTAGACAGTTAAGGACTACGGAGCAAAGTTTCTGGATGAGCGTGCTTGTTAATTGACCAATCAGGCTAGTGACCATAAAGGAAAACACTACAGCACAAGTCTGTGTGACTCCAAGTGTTGCCGTTCAGCCGTGGATTTAATATTTACCCCCTTGCATACACAGAAGGAAACACACAGGAGCCCACCCAGCTCAGGGTTGCTGCAGCAGCAAGGCTCTCCCAGCACATGACACAGCCTCTGCTCCCACCAGGAGCCTTCGCCCATTCAAAAACCTCACTGGTCTTACTGGAAGTTTTCTTTGACCACTGCCCGATCGCATCGCAGACCCTATTCCACTCTAGCCTATATCAACCCTCGCAGTCAAGAAACCTCCAACAACACCAAGATGAGACAGGGAGAAGAGCAGCTGGGGGGGGGGGGGGGGCAAGTTATTTTTCCAAAAGGAAGGGCTCAGCCGGCCAGACCCCGCCAGCCCGGCCGGGAGACACGGCGCACATACTGTGCTCCCCACGTAAACTTTCCCGTGGCAGAGACGATGCCACCCCGCAGCACCGGGCGCGCCGCGGTGCGTGGAGCGGAGGGGAGCTGACCCCGGCCGCCGCCGCGGGGGGTCACGCGTGGGCGAGCATCCCGCGTGGGTGCCCGGAGCGAGTGTCGCGGGTGGGCGCCCCGCGGGGCGGAGGGAGGGTCAGGGCCACAGGGCCGCCGTTACCTGGGGTGCCGGTGCTGCGGGAGCGCGGCGGGGAAGCCCCAGCCGCCGCCGCCGCCGCCGCCGCTGCTGCTGCTGCTGCTGCTGTCCGCGGTGGCCACCTGGGCGCGGGAATCGCCGCCGGTACTGGTGCCGGTGCCGCCGAGCTGGATGCCGCCGCTTTTCCGGTGCCTGCCGGTGCCGCTGCGGCAGCGGCCGCCCCTGCTCCAGCCGCGCAGGAGGCCGGCCTCGGAAGCCGGCAAACTCTTCCTCGCCGACGAGGAACCGGGGACGCTGCCCGCCTCCTGCCTGCCGCCGGTGCCGGTGCCGTGTCTCATGGTGCGCGGGGCCGCCGCATGCCGCGCTGCCGCCGCCCCGGGCGCCGCGGGACCCACGCGCGCCGGGGCCAGGGGCTCCGCCGGCACCGGGAGGCCGCCGGGAACCCGGGCTGCTGGGGGGGGAGGCGGAGGCCGGGGGGCGGGGGGGCTGCTGGCTGGGGCTCCCGCTGGGGCATTAAGTTGGACGCGCGGCCGGGAGAGGCAGGGCGGGGGCGGGGGCTGCGGGGCCGATAGTTCTCCGCGAAGTTGGAGCCCGGGGGGCGAGGTGGGGGCATCCTCTCCGCTGGCCCTTCATCGCCGCCCGCCGCCGCCTCCCCTCGCCTGCCCCCGCCGCCGGGCCACCGCCCCGCGCCCTCAGCCGGCGGCGCTGCGGGGGCGCGCCCCGCGTCCCGTGCCCATGGGCGCAGTGGCGGCCCCGGCGGCAGCGATCGCCGGCGCCGGCTCCTTTCGCCGCTCCCTTCTCCGGCAAGGAGCGGGAGGGTGGGGGTGGACAGAGGGGGAGATCAAACCCGAGGCTGGTGCTCAAAATGGGTCAGGGAGGGGGAAAGGGACCCCGGCGTTCGGCGCCCCCCTCCCCGCGGTTGGCTCCGGGAGGGTCGGGCTGGGGCGGTGGGTAGCGAGAGGGCTGCGGAGGAGCTCTCCCGCCCCGGCTGCCTGTGCACAAGTGCAGGGAATGTTCCACTGACCTACATATTTTTCCAAACATACGTGACCTTTTTTTTTCTCTCTCTCTCGTTCTGTGGGAGGAGACAGGCGAGGATCCAAGAAAAGGAGAAGCTGGAAAGAGAACGAAAGGGGAAGCAGGGAAAAAAATAAAAACCTCAACCAAAAAGGCAGCCCCGCATCAAGGATGGTTCCACACCGCCGCCGCGAGCAAACCCCGGCGTGCCCACGTTTATATATGTCTGCAGCGACATCCCCGTACTGCACCGGCGACCGCTCCAGTACCTGAGCCCGGGAGCCCCCGCGGTGCCGCCGGCCCCGCCGGGCAGGGCAAGCGTCCGGGTGCCTGGCCGCCGGCTCCCGGGGCGATGCGGCGGGACCCCAGCACGGCTCTGGTCGGCGGGCTGGGCACGGTCTCCCTGCTCGGCCCCGGCCCGAGGGGTGACCCTGCGCCCTGTCCGTGTCCGCTGCCCCGGCGGCGGGAGCCAGGACGGAGCGGGGCACGGCACCGCGTTGCCCCGGGGCAGGTTCCCGGCCTCGCCGGGCACAGGCAGGAGCTCCCGATCTGGTTATGCAACGCCGCACAGGCAATTGGAGCAAAACCTTGACAGAGAGCGCTATTTTTTTTTCTTGTTTCAAAGTAGGTCATTCTTTTTATTTTCTAATTTGCCTTTTTTTTTCTCTTACTAATCCTCCTGCAAAGTGGCCGATTAGAGAGAAGGCGGTGTGCTGGAGCCGGGGAGAAGCTGGTGATCGGAGCCTTGCTCTCTACTCGACGGGCACTCCTGCCGGCTTCTGGCGGCGGCTCCAGCAGGGTCTGGCGTTGCTTTTCCTCCCCAAGGAGAGCAGCGATGGCCTGGGAGCGGGGCCACGGCTCGGGCGCTGCCCGCTGCTCTCCCCAGCTCTCCCGCCGGCGGAAGCCCCGGTCTCCTCCTCCCCCGGGCGCCGCCGGCTATTGCCCCCTGCCTCCTGTCGCCCTCGCACCGCCTCTGCACCCGGGGCTTGCTGGCGCTGCTGGCAGGCACCTCTTCCACCCGCAGAAGGGGTCTCCCCCCCCGAGATACAGTATTTGTTTTCAGAATAGCTGTGGTTTTTTGCTCAGAGGAGGGATTTGTTGCAGTAGCTGGTGCAAGCTCTGTTCCCACCAAAAGGCCTGACTGCACAGCCATACCTGTGGCAGCAAAATTTGTGTGGTGGGCCAGGGGCTGTTTCCCCATCTCCCCCGGTACATCCTGCCTCCTTTTTTAAAAGGCACGTTAATACTCGCAAAATACCCGCCAGCAGAGACCTCTGCCCACACCTGGTATGCATGTGTGGTCACAGTGTATGGACTGATGGTTGCTCCAGCTACCTGTCTCCAGCGAGGAGCTGTGCTGCTTCTTCCCCTACCCCCACCACCCAGCTCACCTAGTTACCCCGCTGTGATGTCCAGCTCCCCCATATACTACATCCAGACAGTTATTTGATCTGATTCAATCCGCTATGAAAATGTTAATAACTACAAAGTTATGGAAAAATGTTGCACTCCTTTGCTGAGCACTTTTACACCGTACTTTATACAACAGGCATGACTAATGTTGAAAGGGTAAAGTTGTTTACTTTCAACGAAGATTAAATACAAAACTTTGTAAAGCTCCTCCCTTCCTTTGGATGAAACCCAGCATTTCTTTCCCATTTGGAAATTGTCAAACAGTGGTTAAACAATCCTTTGGCAAACAAGTAGTGCCTGAGGGAATAAAGCATCAGATACACAGGGAATGGAATAAAAGACATTTCTGTTCCTGAGGTACTTTTCTTGTGTTGCACAATGAAGTATAACATAAAATTTTCAAGCCTTGTAAGGTTAGAGAAAAGGAACTTCCGTTGATTATATACACCACATGATTTGATATTCCAGTCCTTTTGAAAGCCTACCAAAATCCTTCCCTGAATCCAACCCTGTGCTTTCAGAAACTGGGAAACCAAGTACCTGGAGGAAAATACCACATTGAGAAAGGCAATCTGAGAGACACAGGGGCGCATTTACATTACATCTCTATTATATGTTAACATTTTCCCTGCGAATTTCAAAGGACTCCATTGCACAAGTGAACAAGTGAGACTGGTTGAGGTTTGTTTCTTAATTCATTCCCTAGGTTACTGCTGTAAACTTTAATTAGGCTAACAAAGAGCAGAGCGGCTGAGGGTGAGGCAGGCTTTATCCAGCCCATACCTGAATCACATTGTGAAATACCAGCCATTCAAAACACACAGCCTTTCTCTCAGTCTGGTGACACATGGAAAATTACCAAATACTGTCAATACTGAGGTTGGTTTGGAAATTAACCAAAGGGTTATGCTAGATGCTACATGTAAGAACATTAGGCAAGGAGCCCAGTGTTCAAATTTAAAGAATTAAATCTTTTTATAATAATAAAGTATTAGTAAGCAACTTTTCAGACACCAGGAGCCTATGATCCAAAGCCACAATCCCTTTTGTTTCAACTAGAATAGGCTGGCCAGCCTTCATGACCCAGAAATGACACAACAGGGTTTTCAATGGGCCATGAACCACAGGCAAGGTGTCTTCCAGGGCGGAGGACCAAGGGGAGGAGTGGGAGAGGACAGTGGCTCCCCAGGGACCCTGCTGCTCCTTTGTGGCAAGACTGTGGGAGGGATATGGGGTTGAGTGTGAGTTCAACCCAGACATACTGCATGTAACTCTGCTGGTTTGCTTCCTCTTACTTCCAGGGATTTATATTATGAAGTGCCACCACTGCTGCAAGACGTAACCCTTGGCAAAGGAGCTACCTTGGATGTCCTTTGGCTCCAGAGCCAGAGCCTTGCTGCCAGAGCCTGGCCACTGCAACCTGGAAGCACAGGCCTTCCAAGTACCTAAAAAGGGCATATAGGAGAGCTGGAGAGGGACTTTTTACAGGGGCATATAGTGCTAGCACAAGGGGTAATGGCTTTAAACTGAGAGTAGGTTTAGATTAGATATTAGGTGAAATTTTTTACTGTGAGGGTGTTGAAGCACTGGAACAGGTTGCCCAGAGAAGTTGTGGGTGCCCCATTCCTGAAAGTGTACAAGGCAGTTTGGATTGGGTTTTGATCAACCTGGTCTAGTGGAAGGTGTCCCTGCCCATGGCAGAGGGGCTGGAGCTAGATGGTCTTTAAGGTCCTTCCCAACCCAAAATATTTTGTGATGATGATTTTGTGATTACCTGTGCTATAGAAATGCTTTTAACATTTAGCAGACACCTGTACATGTTGTATAAATAAGATGCCATTTGCAGCCCTTAATTTAAAAGTGAACCCTACATTTGTATTAGCATTTGTGTTGAAGTAAAAAGGGTTCCCCCAAATAGTCATAAATCAACATAAATGGCAACAGTGGCAAAAGTCAGGGATGAATCTGTGGGAGAGATGAGCATAATGGAAAAAAATAAAGGTCCCTCAGAGCCAATCAAATTGCACTGAATATGAAACTGTTCTCTTTAGTTTTCAAGAAAGTAAGAAGAAGACAGACAGGAATTAATTTCATTAATATTAATTAAGGGGCAGGACAGACCTTCCCCCACTTGTTTTCCTATCTTCCATGTTGGAAGCAAGAACAACAGAGACAAATGACAAATAAATCTAGTGGCTCATGTTAGTTGCAGGAGTCACACCAGCTGTGTCTGCTGGCTGGCGCAGGTGGGCATGGGAGCACGAGGACAGATGTGAGGATATCTTTCTTTGGGTAACACACTTCTGTAACCAATTTTGTCAGAAATTTCTGCAGAGAGGAACGGTCTTCTGGGGATCAGCAATATTTTTCATTCTGTGGCTTGCAGTTTCCTGAGGGAGGGAGGGGTAGTGCATACTTATCAACCAGCAGCACAGCCTCCAAATCAGGGGAAGGCAGAGAGATGCCACAATGAAATGGACTTCAGATGCATCCTACTGGTGCTGCTCCAAGCGCTGGAGTAGGATGGCTTAGGGTCTTCAGGATCTCTTCACCTAGAACACCAGACTCCTTGTTTTTCTGCATGTGTATTACAAGAGAAAAGCCAATTTGCTGATTTGAACTTGCTCTAGTCTTAACTGGTTTGAAGAAAAAAAAATTCCATTGCCAGGGTTTTCATGGAAGCACTTAGCCAGGCATACAACCTACCTGAGGGCTTGACTTTCCCGGCTTATTCAAAAAAGTGTTTGTTGGTTTCCTGTAAGCGGTTAATGCACAGAGTGGGACGGAAGAAGGCGTGGGTTGAAAAATTAGTTACCAAACATTGAATAGACTTAATGTCTGGAAGGGCTGGAATTGCTGCTGGGTGCCTAGAAAGCCCTAAAGCTTGCTGCCTTGCAATCTTGTGGCTGAGGATTTACAGCTTTTCTGAGAAGTAAAACTTCTGCAGCATGAGCTGTACATATGCAGTCAATTGCCACGGAACGTGCTGTATGTGTGCATGTCAGTCTGGCCAGCTAAAGCTCAAGGTTGTGGAAATAATTCCTTCTCATATGGGAAAGAGATGATCCACTTATCCTCTGGCTGACAGTGGTCTTTGTGCCAGTGCGCCGCTTGACTCACACAAGACCTTTCATTTACTTGCAGCAGGATGGGAATACATCTCATGGCAAAATCCAGTTTCAGTGGGACTGCGCTGGTTAATAGAAGTAAGGAACTATGGCGTGTCTGTACCTGGTAAAAAGGCTCTGGTCTGAAATCAGGCTGATGGAGCTTGTTCAGATTTGAGAGCTGTTCAAGAAAATGAAGCTCAAACTCAAACCCAGGAGCAAGGGATCTGCTATTTTTTCTCTGGAAGTCCCAGTGAAATGGAAGATAATAAGGTGTTGTAGTGCCACAACTGAATTATGAACAGCTGGGAGAAGTCTGAATGCAGATGCAGCATCTTTGTCTCTACCTTTACTGAGAAAAAAGGCTATTACTAATTGTTATTACATTTTATGTTTTATGTTACTATTGCACTGTAGTAGTACTTTTTTGGATATATCCCTATGGTACAAAGCCATGATGATGA